TATACTTACTGCTCGGTTATATTACTTGAAAATATATTAAAATATCTTTTTAAAATGGCAATTTTTTCTCCATTTTAAAAGATCGATTTTTGTGTGGTTTTTCATTTACAGATAATAGGCGCCCAGAACCGAACAGTAAGTATATTTCGAAAGATGGTTCAATTCGAATGCAAATAACTCAGTGAATACTTAACCGATTTTCATAAATTTTACACGAATGGTTAGAGGGAATTTTTAAGTTTTATTACATATCTACGGTGCATATATAAACGTATTTTATATACGAGAAAATTTGCATTATATGAATGTTCACAGATATTCGAAATAACGACAGGGGTTTTTTTGTTAAATTTGAACAGAGAAGTATACTCAAATTGGGCAGCCTGTGCTATACCCTACACAAATAAAAGATTAGTTAAAAGTCCCTAACCCCTGATACATAACTGATGTTTTTATAAAAATATGGAATATATGTTTCTACTTAAAAACAAAGAAATAAATAATTGATCATAAAAAAAAACTAAAAAATATCAAATTAAAATTAAGTTGCAATAATGAAATAAAATTTTGTCCATAGCTCATATAGCGCCCGAGGGCTTTGGCATATTAAAAGAGCTAACCTCAAGAAAGTGGGTGTAATTTGGCATTTCGCGTCTTAAGAGAATAAAATAATGCTTGGCAAAAATTAAAAAAAAAAATAAATAAAAGTCCATAACAAAACGACGACGTTTTAAATTGGCATTCCAATTTCCGTCACTGACATTTATCGATGACCGATCTTCTACCATTTTCGGTATTTTCTAGCAATGTTTTACGACGACGTTGAAGTAAAATTAGTTTTGTTGGCGGCTAAAGTGTTTGAAAGATTTATTTAAATAAAAAACAGGATACGATATTCTAGACTCTATTCAATACGCCATGCAAGAGTTCGTATAAATCGAATAAACGTTGGATCTTTGGTGATCCGTTTACATAAAATTGAACAAGAAATATTCGGAAGCTAAGTTTAAATCTGAAAAAAATCTGAATGTATTTTTTCATAATTAATATTTTCTCAATTTTAATAAAAAAAAAAAAAAAAAAACACACACACATTAAAAAAAATTTTCTTGTAGCCTACAGTGTATAACTTGCCATATATATTTTTTTAATATATAATACCAACATTTCTTTTTTTATTAATATTACAATGCCATTATGTACGTTTTTTTTTCTCGTGTGTAGTATTGGTTTAAAATTTATTTATTCTAATTATTAATTTCTTTTTTGTATTTTTGTTATAACAATATCATTATTTGCTGTGGGTAGTTTGCCATAATATGTCTATCGTTTACTGGATAAAGTCTCTCTACATTTTCTATTTGCTTTAATTGAAATTTGGAAAACAAAATTGAACTTACACTAAAAAAGGAAATTTCATGTGAAATAAATAAAACCATATATGTTTGTGTGTGTATATTATATAGTAGTATGTATATATTTTTTTTTAATTTTTTTTCTCTTTTTCAGTTAAATATATATAACATTTTCTAATGCATTCTCATAAGAGATGTTATTCTTTCAAAACAGTTTAACTATTTCGTATATTTTTTAAGTTTAATTTGGTTTGTTAAATATTTTTTTAATTTTCATGTAATGCAGACTTCTTTCTGGGCATATGGGGTTATTTATTTTTTATTTATTAAAATACGAGCTCGATTTTTTACAACATACTTCAATGATGTCAATTTTGAGGGATATTTACTTCAAAATTATTTTTTTTTTAATAAACGTATAATAAAATACAAAAAAGAAAACGCTTTTAAAAAATTGTCAAATTATTTCATAAAAAATATTTTTGTTATTAAAAAACGTAATAATAATAAAAGAAATTTTTTTTAATTGTCAAATTACTTCATACAAATATTTTTGATATTAAAAAAAACATAATAAAGTAAGAAATAGTTTTTTTAATTGTCCAATAACTTCATAAAAAATATTTTTGTTAACCAACAAAGGCAAAAATTATGTATGAAAATATTTTATAAAAAATTATTTTTAATTAAAAAAAATATATATTTTTATGGTTTATAAATCATTACCTTATCATAAATGAATGCAAAACTATTGAATAATTGAAATAGCTAAATTTTTTGTCGATTAAATCCAGCCTGGGATGATTCTATGGACAATTTTATGCAAATTTGGTGAAGGAACCATAGGTCTAACTCGATTTTCGAGACTACCACTTAAAAAAAAAAAAAAAAAAAGATTTCAAAAAAATAACAAAATTTTTGATTTCTTCAAAATTCCATTTTTTATTCATCGTTATATTATTTTTTATATACATCGTTTTTGGGTTCGAGAAATTAATTTCTGATCTTTATTTTTACCTATGACCACCGCCATATTTTAACTATTTTTCATTTATTTTCTGAGAAAAATTATAAGTTTTTCGAATTTTGAATCAAAATAAGCTTATAGGGAAAAATCATTTTTGGAAAAGTGGGAGACCCGAAAATTCAGATAGACCTATGGTTCCTTCACAAAAGTTGCTTAGGATCATCGTATGGGCTGGTATTAATCGAATTTTTCGGTTCCATACAAATATATATATATATATTTGCTATCTAAAATTATTCAGCAGGGTGCGAAGAATGACTAAAATACGATCTTTCTCCCGAATGCTCACGGGCGAGAGTTCGAATGCTTTCAATTTATCGCGAATCATAAAGTTACAATGAATGTACAAGCATTTGCAATCTCTCGCGAATGTCCGCATTGTACGAAAAATTCCGCAACGATAAAATGTCGCTGCAAGCGTCGTCGATTCATTCTTTCGCAAGGATTTGTTGCTGAAGAACATTCTTTTGAAAAACTCAAAAAACAAATGTTCACGAATGCTCGCGAGCACTGTTAAAAACAACAACAAACAAAAATATCATAAAAAAGTAAACACACAAACAACGAAAGAATGTCTGTGTAGCAGAAAGTGTGTGGAATATCAAAACACATTTCCAACAACTATTGAGTTCACGAAAGTTTGTTGTTATTGTTATTGCCGTTTTGAGCATTTGCGAACATTCGGGAATGTTTGTTTTCATTCGTGGGAGAATGTCAGAAAGTATTTCAACCACCAAACGAAACGAACGATAGTTTTTGGGTACTCTCACTCGTTTGTTATGGGTGTGCGAACATTCTTTGGCGAATGCTCGTTTGGTTAAGAATTTATCGCCATAAATTTATTCGTAAAATGAGCACAAAACGAAAAGAATGTATTTTGAATCATTCGCGATCTAATTTTTGGGCACCCTGTTTAAAAGTTATTTATGAAAAAATAGTGTTTTATAAACCATAAAAATATATTTTTTAATAAAATTTTAATTTTTTATAAAATAAGATTTTCTAAACAAATTAATTTAAATACATTATTACATATTGAATAAAATAAAAATTTATTATTTGTATTATTTTCAGCTTTAAAATATGATTAATTTGTACATTTAAATTTCATTTTTTTAATCAACAAGCATCTTTAATGCTCATTATATATATATATATATATATATATTAAAATTTTTTATTTAAAAATTATTTTCAAACATTTTTCATTTTTTAAAGGCAATGTATTTTACTGAACAAAAAATTAGGACATTTCTGGCCAAAATTAGTTCAGAAAAAGTCGAAATATGTGACCAATACAATGGGAATTGGCGAAACAGAATATATATATATATATATATTAGTGTGGACAGCCCTGGTTTAAATGGAAAAAAATACATTACCATAAATTCATATATGTTCGCAAAAAGAAACTTTCTTATAAAAATACATTATATATATATATATATATACAAAAATGTTCGCCATTTCCTTGTGCTAATATAAGAACATTTTATTACCAACAATTTTCTTATAAAAATTGAAAAAATGTTCTTTTAAAGTTTTTCATACGATGTTTAAAAATCAAGCTCGTATTGTAATTAATAAAAATGATATTGTAGTAATTGTATATTATTTATGTTATTAAAATTCTTCACAAAAATATATATATGTATATATTCTATTGAATTCTCATTTTAATTTTCAACATAAAAACATTTGATTACGTATTTTTTCTTCAATTATTAACATTTATGTTGTTAATACTTTACTTTATTTAGCAGGATTTAATAAAACATTGTTTTTTTATTTTTCCAATTTTTGGTTTTTTTATTTTGTTTCAAAATGTTATTATTGTTTTAGTAACAGTTAATGTTAAAAAAAGGAAGGAAACTTAAGAAAAACACTTGTAAAATAAATTTAATAGAAAAAATAATAATGTACTAAAAACAATACTTAATACTATAACGTCTTCTGGGTTTGTTTGCTGCTGTTTTGTTTTTCTTATTAAAAACTACAAAGTATAAAAGTAAAGAATTTTTAACATAAAATAATAAATTAAATATTTTAAATATGTTTATGGTTTTTTTTTTTAATAAAAAAAGAATACCTTATAAATATAATAAATATACAACTCTATACAGTATTAAAAAGGAAATACAATTCAAAATAAACATTATTGAATTTTCTTTAATATATATTTTTACAAGGATGTCTTGACTGTTGATTATTTAAAGTAATATAATAATAAAAACAATGTGTATATATTTATTTCACATATATATTAAACAACAGTGGTAATTGACTTAAAAAATATTTCATGGGATTTATTCATTAAAAAAATAAAAGGCCAAAATTGAAAGAGTTTTTTAATTACTTTTAGTATTATTTTTTCAGCCATTTTTTCCATTTCATGTGTCTTGTTTTTTCTTCATTGTTCATTTCGTTTTCGCTTCTCAGTTTTCCAAATATATAAAAAATAAAACTTAACAATTTCGAGTGTTATTTTTACAAAGAAAAATAAAAAATAAAACTAACCTAAAAAATACATCATTTTTACATTTCTAGTCGAGTCTTGAGATTCTGGGATTATTTTTGGATATTTTCGAAATTAGTTTTCTTTTTCAATTGAAATAACATTTACGAACTAACACCTCCATTGTCTGCATGTTCTATAACTGTATACGATTCGTTCATATCGCTGCTACCGGTCAATTGTAAATCACCGGTGGAATGTGCCGCTGGGGGATGGGATTTGTGGGTGGGCGATTGATTGGGCGTTGTGGCGGTACTTTTGGGTTTGCGAAACCAATTGCCCAATCTTCGCCGGCCCAATGAGCCCGTCTGTGCTTCACTATTTGCCGCCGATTCCAAACGTGAATGTGACGACTTTTTGGGTAAGGTGTCACTGTATTTAAACGATTTGGCGGGGGATTCGGGTACCGAACTTTCACCCGAGGTATTGGTATTATTGCCATTACTTAAATTTGCCTCATATAGAAATTCTTTAAGTTTTTGTTGTTCATTTTCAGCTCCCTCGTAATCGGATTGATCATCTGAACAATCTCTTTCCTCGAGGGCATAATCGAAATTCATCATTTCGGAGATGTATAAAGATTTGCCACTAAATTGCCGTTCCAAGGCCAGGGTATTTAAGAATCTATGTTTACGATTTGCCGAACGGAAACTAAAATCAAACCATTTGCCTCTTGATTCACAATAAATCCGCAACGAATTCTTAATGGTGTGGCCAAACATTTTACCATCACGAACATTGACCACACGGCAACGATCGAGGAAAATACGTCCCTTGTAAATGAAATTGGAACGTTTAATAATATCCCGCTTGCAATATACCAATTGATTGTCGAACAAAAACAATGTACAGCTACTGTTCCATAGATTTTGTTTCTGTCTTGTCGCATCGATTTGTACAAAGAAACGGGTGCTGTGCAAATGCAGTGGGGGTCCTTTGAAATTTTGAAAACTGGCCTGATGACGGGCAATTGTTTCACTGTGGCGTTTGCCCTCATTTACTGCTTCGGTTATGGATTTCATTGCCTCCAAGGCCATATCAATGGTCTCAGTCGTGTCGGGTATATTCAATTGGCTAACATCGATTTGTTCAAATTCCTGTAGGCTAAATGGTGTGGGTTCCGAACCTTTGGCAGAGGTTTTCATAATTTCCGCCAAATGTAAAGGATAGCGGCAGATACGCTGCACTGGAGCCAATAAATGGGCGGATAAGGGTAATTCAGCTAGGTTTTCGGTTTCGCGACAACTAAAAGAAAAAAAAAATAATTTATTAGTTATTGTTTTTAAATTTCTTGATTTTTTCTGAATTACTTACTTATCTAATATGGTGCGAGCATCTTTGACCCTTTCATATGATTCCAATTCAATTAATGCCCGTGGATATGAATTACAATATGTTGAATAACATAAAAATCCTTTGTGCTAAAATTGGAAAAAAGAAAGAAAGGAAATTGCTTAGTTTTTTGTTTTATATTGTTGGAGTTGTATTTTTTAATTTACCATTTTCAAAAAGATTTTGCCAACTTGATTTTGTTCAATACCCTTGCGCAAAGCATCTAAAAATCGCCTTTGAAATTTATATATAGCTGTTATATTGGAGAATATCAAGCGTATGCTGTTGGGTGAGAAGATATCAATGCGTTTGCTCATAGCTGGCAGATAACTGAAAAATAAAACAACAACAAAATTAAAATTTTGAATAAAAAAATAGTTTTAATAAATTAACACAAAAAATGATTAAAAAATTTTTCAAAAAACAACATTACAACCTTAAATATTAAACATTGCAACACCACAAACAGGGAAAGGGAAATAAAAAAATATATAAATTTTTTTGAAAAAAAAAAGGTCTAGAAAAAATTAAAATTTTTAATAAAAAAATTAGTGAAAAATAATGTAACAGAAAAAAATTGAAAAAAGAAATCATTTTGATTTTTTAAAGACAAAAATATTATATTTTGAAAAAAGAAAGAAATAATGAACATTTTTTTTTTTTTTGAAAAAAGGTCAATGGACTAAGGCAAGCCTAAAAGTATACAGGCAAATGTTAAATATTGTTATTTCAACTTACCCCTCACATATAGCTTGTAGCAGCTTAACATAATTTAGTTCGGTATCCAATAATTCTTTGACAGCACTACGACGTAATATTTCCGCACTACCCATTATAACATTAAGGCTTTGTGAGCTAGATAATACCGATTGGCCATTGGCGGTTGTCAGTGTGGATGATGGACCATCACCAGCATCTGGCTGGCATCCATCTTCATTTTGTTGTTGCTGATGATGATGATGATGCTCCGATGATGGTGATGATGATGATGTTTCAATAACAATGGTTGTGACATTGTGCTGCTTATCGATAATTGTGGTATTACAATTATCCTCTGAACTGGTATTACGGGAGTGCATGGTGCACTTGATGATGTCGTATTCAACATTTGATTATCCTCGACGGCTACAACAACGCTGGTTGTGGTGGATGATGATGCCTGCTGCACTAATGCTGTTGTGGCAGAGTGTTCATTAATTTGCATGTGGCTAATGTGTTGATCCTTGTGCCGTTGCTCATCATCGGCCAAGTGTTGCAAAAAGAATGCATCTGTTTCCGGTGAGTGTATGACGCGCACAAACTCTTTGGGAAACCAGCCCAATTCCGGATCTAAAATTTCCTCCACTATAGTGGCATCCTCTTTTTTAATGCGTCCAAACCACCAGGGGCCAATTTCTTTGCGCAAAATCTCAATTAAGGTACCCTTTTCCAAGCCCAACTCTTGTGGTCCGGCAGCAGTGAAATTGTACAAGACTTCGGCATAAATGGGATAATATGTGGTGGGAGCTAAAACGGGTGGAATGTAAATGAAAAGTAGGAAATTAGATTAGTTTGTGAACTTTAACCTTTTGGGGATTTATTATTAAAAGAGAGAATGCAAGAGAATTTTTAAATATGTATGTGTGTGTATGTGAATTTATTTTGTATCTTTACCTTCTTCATGTGAGGTAACACTATCACTGTCGCTGTCATCTAAATCATTGCGTGTCATGCCACATGACTCTAGGCCATTGGGTTGACTTAGCGAACGGGTGGGCAATGATTCGGGTGCCTCACGTTCCCCATTGATATCCATGCGTTTCAGCATTTTGGCTTTATTTAATACCTCCGAAACGCTTTGATCGGTCATTGATGTAACTTTGGCGGAATTTGTGCGGCGTACTTGTCGAAATCTTAGGGAATTCTGAAATGAAGATAAACACATTAATTAATATAAGAAAATATATATTTGCCTCTAAAGGTAGGCAATAGGATTGGAAATTTTTCTAAATTATAACACCTAAAAGTAGGCAACTTTTTATTTTGTCAATCAAAAATTATTTATACAAATTTTAATAAAAAAAATTGCATACTTTTAGGCTAATGATAATATTATTAATAAGAAAATTAAAAAAAAAAATATTTTTATAACTTTTCCATTAAAAATAAAAATGAAAAATTGAACAAAACTATCGAATTTTAAATATTCCTTAATGTTAACATCTAAAAGTAGGCAAAGTTTTTAATATATTAACTATTTCGAGTTTTTATAACTTTTCTATTAAAAATAAAACTTAATTTTGAAGAAAACTCTCGGATTGTAAGATTTTTCTAAACAAAAACACCTAAAAGTAGGCAACGTTTTTATATTTTGACTAGTGAAAAAATTACACCAGCCACCACGAAAATTTTGAAAACTCATTAGAAGATGTTTTATTTTTTTTTTTTTGGAATATAATTTTGTTATTATATTTTTTATAAAGAAAAACCATTGCCTACTTTTTGGCTCAAACTACTGAAATTTGTTCTAACGCACTTGCCTACTTTTAGGTTCAACTTATTAACGACTACTAAATCATAATATTCGAAACAATAAAACATATTTTCTGTGCTTAACTTACCAATCCTTCTGATTTACGTCCATTGGCCATTAGAGCAACACCGTTACTTATATTCAGGGCACCATTCAAACAACCACCATTGGCCGCCAAGGCTCGAGCGAATTGCTCATCATTTTCCAGTTCAATTTGTATGCCCGAATCACCGCTGTTACATTTGTCACGGCGATTATATTTTGTCTTGCGTCGCTCCTTCGACGAACGCCACACCAAGGGGCCAAATCGATATTTATTATTTGTGGCGGTGGCAGAGGAGGAATCGGTGACATCCGTTGTCGTTGACATTTCAGTATCGGGCATTAGAAATGAGCCAGCAGCAGCCGATGCTGTTGGTATTGTTGTGGAACTGCAATTGTTGTCACCGCCACCATTTGGGGCGGATGAAGTTCCGTGTGCGGATGTTGTTGTTGTTGCTTGATTGGTCGTCTGTTGCTGATGCTTATTGAAATTGGTTAATGTACGTTTGAATTTTTGTAGAACTCCAACATTCTGGGTGGCCGACGAAGCCACCACCACCACTGACGGCACATTATTTGTGGCAGTCCGCTGACAATCCTCTTGACTAGTTGTGGGGTTATTGGCGGCACTGGCATTGGTATACGATGAATTACTAGATGGTACTCTTTGGCAATAATCTCCCATATCGGTAAGGGAGGGACTGGAAACTGCACGCATTTGTTGAGACTGCAAAGAAGGAATTGAAAAAATGTTAGTTGTTGATTGAATTGCATGGCAAAATCGGAAAATAAATTATGATAGCAGTTTTTTGTACTTTGCTCTCCTAGATAAAAAAAATAATTGGATTTTTAGTATTACTTTTTTGGGGGGGGCGCCCATTGATAAATGAGTTTCTATTTTCTCTTTCGTTTTTTAGTTTCTTTTCGTTTGTTGCTGATAGAAATTTGATTTATCATTGTGGGTTCAGTTCAGATCTTTTTTCGCATGAATTATCGAGAATACAATTTTTTTTTAAATTTAAATAAAAGAATGATAGAAACTTAAGATACTTATTTAATATTGAAAAATAGAATTAATTCAAATCAAATTAAATTATCTCAAAATTACAAAAAAACGACGATTATTTTTATTTACATTAAAAGATCCTAAAAGTATGCAATATTTTTTTAAAATAATTTAACAGAAAATTATCTAAAAAATATTGTTATTGGTATGAATTGGAATGAATATTCTTAAAATATTAAATAAAGTAGATGGTCTTTTAATGTTTTAATATTAGAACGCATTTTATGAATATATAAGGTAAATATAATTTAAAAGGGCCTAAAAGTATGCAGTAAGTTTGAAAAAATATAAATTAAAAAAAAATAATTTCAATACTTAATATCGCATACAAAAATGATAATAAATTAATGAAAAAATTAAATAATTAATAAATAAAACATAATTTATATTTATTTTAAAATAACAAATTATTATTCCTTTCAAATAGCTAATTAATGAAAACATTTCACATTTCTTAAAAAAAATACTTTTAGAAAAAAAAGATAATAACAAAGGTAAACCTTTGAACCTAAATGTTAGAGAACTTCGTCAAAAATATTTGTATATAAAATTATTAATATTAAAAAAATTCTTCCACAAAAATACTAATTAAAAAATGGGTTATCAAATTTTAGAAAAAAAAAACAATAACACTGACCGATTAGCCTTTAATCGCTGAAGGTGCTTGTGGACTTATGAATCATAAATAATGAAATAACTGAAATTCCTCTTTTTTTGCAAACGTGCCTGGTAGCCCATAACAAAGTTTTTTTTTAAGTGGAATGGAATATCAATAAAACCCCCACGACAATAATAATTACCGCATATATATAAATATAATTTTTGTACCTAATCTTATCGCCAAAGAAAATACCAACAGGAAAACCGTAATGATAAACCTTCAAAAGAATGCAATAAGAAGTAAACACACACACATACATACATTCTCAAAAAATGACGCCAAGATAACACTCAATGAATTGAACAGAAAATAAAATCTATTTTAAATCACAAAATAAACAATTGTGATTAATAGCAAAAACAAAAAATGTAATAAACATTACAACACTTCTTACATCACCATCAAGAACCAACAACAACAACAAAACCTAACTTATATTGGCAATGTCAAATTAAATACCCACCATATTCTGGTTCGAAGTTGTACAACAATGTCGTTGTCGTCGATCATAACAATCGTTGGCAATAAACCAATTTATGGATTTCTTCCAAGAGGTATCCGATGAAACTGGGCGGGTATCGAAATCCCAAAAGCGTACAAGACCATAGGTATCCATGAGGACAGGTATTATAGTTTTCTTCATTTTTTTAATATTTTTTATTTTGATTTCAAAAATTCTTGATCATTTCTATTTCTCACTTTCTTTCCGAAATATTATTATTTTTTTTTTTGTTTGTTTTCCACAGATTCACAAACCACAAAACCAAATCATTTAAGAATATTTAATTTTTGTTCATTCAATTCATTTAATTTCCAAAGTAATAACAGGTGTCACCGTAAGCAGCGATAAATATTAACTGATTTTAGCTGTGAATATGAAATATGCCGATAACCAAACCTAACATAAAGAACCGACAACCTGGTCGTTTCTTTACAACAAGCCATGCATTTTGTCGACGACATATGTTGAGAATTCAATAATAATAATAATAAAAAAGCAAACACAATATGTTTGCCATATCTTGCCCGGCTTTCGGCTCGCCCGCCCCACCCGCAGCAAACCTTCTCAAAGTTCTAGCCAAACGCCAGGCAACAAAAACCCGAACAGAATCATAAAAAATGTGCGATTAACTCATATCACTTTCAATTGATAATTTTTTCTTTGCACTATATAGTGCGGGTTGAAACAAACAAGAAGAAACAAATAATACTAACAACAACAAAAAAATTGGTTATTGTCTAAGGTAATACATATTGTCTACAACAGGTATGACGTAGTTTTTTTCTCTGTTGTATTCTAATAAATCATAAAAAAAGTTGCTCAAAAGAAGGAGGTATGACAACGTGGTTGAGTAAAAAAATACACGCCTTAATTGTGGCTTAAAAAATATTTTTTACAAAATCCATGCCTAAAGTATGGCTTGAAAAAAAAAATATTTTTAAAAATCTCCAAACAGCGTTTTTGCGAATGGCGGGCACGATAACTCAAAAACTAATAACCCAATCGATTTCAAATTTTGGGACGTTTCTCTGTGAGTGTATAGCTATCGTATGAACTAGGATAAAGCCAGTCGGTGAGGATGTTCCTTATTTTTTAAAAATAAAAATAAGAAAAAATAAAAAAACAGCAAGGAAATTAGTAAAGTCGGACTGGGCCGACTATATGATACCCTTCACCACTTTGGGTATATTCTACATGTGTATCCTAACAGACGTCGCGTTTTCTAAGGAACATTGACATGAAATTGAACGAACTTAAATCTAAATCTAACCAGATTTTCTCGCAACTTAAAACACGAGCTATGGTAGGGACAGATTTCCATCTCAAAGGCATGAAAATCCCCATTATTATGCAGAACAACAACATCAACTGTGAATACAAATACAGAAAAACCAAAAAAATTCTTTAAATACACTTGTAATGAGCAAATTTCATGCAAATCAAAAGATATATAGGGACTTTGGTGCCCCATTTACCTTAAATCGGACGAAACTATATACGGGAGCTATATCTAAATCTGACCCGATTTTCTCAAAAACTGACACACATTATTTTAGCCACAATTCAGTACACTATGCAAACTCTTGCGCAAAACTAACGATATATAGGGGCTTTGGTGCACCATTTACATAAAATAAATTCAATAGGGTTCGTCCTTGGGCCAAATGAGTGAGCCGTGCTAAGTTTCATCCAAAGAGGATCATAAATGCGACCTGTACTTTGTTTACAATTTAACATGGACAGGCGGACGGACGGACATACATACATAAATCGACTCAGAAAGTGATTCTATGCATATTCTCAAAAGGAACCATGGGCCTATCTCGTTTCCTTTTGCCTGTTACAAACATATGCACAAAGACATAATATCCTGTACCACAGTGTGGCAAAAGGTATAAACAAAAATCAAAGTTCCGCCATTTTGTTAATTGTTGTGCGAAGTGAATAATTCTAGTTTATACGAGAGCCAGACATGTACCCTTTCTAACCCCGTTGGAAATTGTTTCCCTTAAATATCCAATATATCGAAAAATGACAATTTATTCAATTCTTTTAAATACAATTTGTTTCTCAAAATTCTCAGCCTACCCGCATTCTCCTTGAATATTTTCTCATAGAACCACTTTACAAAAACAAGCCTTCTTTTCTAATGAGAACAAACACACAAATACATTGACAACATAATAAATGATTGAGTGGGTATTTAGTAGTTTGCACGACAACATTTGATAGAAGAAAAAAAAAATTAAATAAATTCTTCGATATGATAAAGTGTAACATGTAAAAAAAAGAAAAAAAAAAATAATCGAGGCAAATAAACTCTAGTCAAGTCCATGGTGATTGAGTTGCTGGGCTGCCATGCCACGACAACTGTCCACAAAGAGATTTAATTACATCTCTTAAATACAACATTCACACACATTGAAATAAACCAAAGTGCATTTACTTAATTGAATTTGAATTTGCAGTTCTGCAGTTTGTTATCTTTATTGGAAACCAAACGGCGATGAACGAATGAACGAACCGCCACATTCAAATCATTGATATTATACAGATGACTTTTATAAGGCATCTGTGATATGGCAGAAAAAAAAGAGATCAAACACTCACACACAAAGAGTGATGATTAGTTTCTGTTTTTTTTTTTATTTATTTGGTTTTGCTGGTAAACTGATATGTTATGTCATTTCATGTGTTAGGATATCTGTGAAGCGAGAGACAGATAGTGGAAATGCAATATTTTATTTATTTCCTCTTGTCTATCCATTCATCAATCCAGCCATCCATCGCTGATGATGAGTTTTCCCATAGATGCCATTAATATTTGTTTGCTTTGTGTGGTTTCCTATCCTTTTGATCGGTTGGTCGGTCGGTCGGTCATTACATCTTTACCACTTATCATTTGTAATTATATAAGTTAATAGCATTGACATGTCATAAAACATCGATACAGCCAGCCATGAAGTGTCGATTGGTTAACATGATTATTATGCAGATTTTCTTTGTGGCCAATAAAAAGACATGGGCGTAGCTAGGGAATTGAGCGTCACTTAAAGAGCCAACATTACTTTATAAATGGATGTACATAAATATTTGATTGATATATTTCAAATCAATACAGATACACAGCAAGGAGTATGGTCTTTATGAAGGATTTTTTCAATATGGAAATAGTTTTAATGCAATATTGATTTTCTCTTTGTCTACGGCTTTTCAATAATAAATAAATAAAAAAGAATATTGAATTCCATTCAGTTAATTAAAAAAACATTGACCATTGTTGTTGTTGTCGGCCATTGTTGAATGTCACATAAATCCAGATTTGTTTGTCACCCCTGATATGTGATTTTTGCCTAAAAGTAGGCTATACAAATATACATTATTTAATTGGTAGAGAATTTAGAGCACAGTCGGCCGAACCACCGCACGCGTGCTCTCTCGCGAGAGTGAGTATCACTATTCTCTCACACACATTTAACTGAACCAATTGAATAACCATTGATACACACACAAAGCCAAGTGCGTGAGAACAGAATTTTTTACGCTCTGCCCGTGCCTGATTTAGAGCAGGGATAGCCAACAATACATATGCAAACTGCTATGATTGTGTTGGACACACGCATAGATCGGTTGGGATAGTAATTTTCGCTCTCTCGGCACAGATCGTATATGTTGAAGCATTGCAAAGCAAACGACATGTTCGATGTCGAGAGTAATGTTGAGTACAAACACAGAACTGTGATTGTATTGGTACTCTCCCAAAGCGCCCACGGGCGCCTGTTTGATGAACGTTGATTTAGAGCATAAGGTAAACTTCAGAGCTATGGAAGAGTATGCCTAGAAGTATGCTTTAAAAAATAAAATAGCTGTTTTTTAATAAAAACAACAAACTGGGATTAGGCCTCACTATCTTGCAAAAAAAAAAAATTAAATACTTTTAATTTTAATTGCTAGAGAATTTAAAAAAAAAAATAGAGCGTAAGGTACAATTCAGAGCTGGAAGAGTAGGTGGAAAAATGAAATTGTGCTTACGAGAGTTGTTATTAATGTTCAAAATGTTCAAAATTAAAAGCTTTTTGAAAGTTTATCGGCATTTTGTTTACATTTTTACAGAATAACATTTTCGTTACTGCAAACGATTTTATGTGTAGACAAAATTGTCGATTGTCGGATCGTTATAAGTTACTGAATTGACCTACAGGTCTTCTTGTAAGGCTGTACAGCAAATTAAAAAATACAAAAAACCTAAAATTGAAAAGTTTTTTCTTTGCATAGTAGGTTCAGGATGATGATACCTGTAAGGCTTGGAAATATATGTTTAAAAAGTTTTACTTGAAAAAAAAAAATTTAAAAGAACATTTGGAAACATTGAGCTCCTTTGGCTCATACAAAATATCACAATTAATTATGTTGCATAAAAAAATAAAAATTTGGACTTCTTGAGAAATGTTTTTAAGAAATTTAAAATTTGGTTTGAAAAATGTTTAAAAAATTAATTTTTTCGATTATCTTGATCAAATATTTTTAATTACATAAAAAATATTTTTAATAATCTGTTGCCTTGAAAATAACTAAAAACGGCAATTCTGAGCTCACTTTTAGGCTAAAAAATCCGCCTTGAAAATACTTTAAAAAATATTGACAATTTGATGATAATATTTTTAAACCAGTGAGCGGAGCAGTATAGTCGGACGGGGCCGACCATATGATACCCTATACAACTACCACGAAAAGCTAACTTTTTGCGGTTTTATATTCATAGCTTGGGCAATATTTCGGCATTTTTGCACCCTCTTAACCGACTAGAGGTCAACCAATTACCATTACTCATATTCCGTGCAGCCCTTCTTCTAATTACTTGTCCAGATTCCCTTCACCGTGGGTTGTGTTGTGATGTTCGGTTTTCAATTGTGGCCTATAGATCGACTCGAAAAAACACAACAATTAACTTTTCGGTCCACTTCATCCCAAAATTATTATTTGTTCATCCCTGATTATTATAGGTGTTGTCCTTGATACTCATAGAAAATTTCAAAGCGTTCAGCGCTATATTTCCGCCCTCTAGTGTGGTAATGACTTACTAAATAATATCTATATCGTAAGCAGGGTCCATTTAACCCTCTAATTATTGACCAATCTTTATCAAAACAGGCATG